CCAAGAACGAGCTTCAACTGCGCCCATCTTTGACAATATGTTGATAGAAAGATTGTTTCGGCACATTTCCACAAGAGTTACTTTCGAGACTTGATCACGTGAATACAACGATCGATTTCTAAATCTTTTGACAAAATCACTGACGGACTCTGTTTTTTTCTGCTTTTCCGCCAATAATGCGGCCATAGACACCTCGGTGTCATCATCAAAGAACCTGACCAGAAAAATCTTTTCTAGATCCCTCCAACATTTAATAGACTCAGGCTCTAGTCTGCAAAACCATTCAAAAGTAACCCCTTTTAGGGTACTAATGAATAGTCGAGTCATGATAAGGTTATTCCCCACTGTGTCCAGTTTGCGTCTGGAAATAGTAAATGTGTTAGGTAGGAAAACACTTGTTATCGAATTGCACTAGATTGAGCGGCTTGAATTTCGGGAGATATGAGACAGTATCTCATTCAACTGGATAAGGTCTAGCTACCCCTAGGTCTTTGAAGTTTCCTTGGAGCATCAATATGTCAAGTTGCTTGTGGAAATCATCTAATTTTTAGTCTTGTACTTTCGTACGAGAATTGGATTCAGCTTCAGACGATTCAGAATTAATCTTCACAACATTTTTCTCTTCGTCTTCATCATTGCCATCTTGATTTCGACGGCTATTTTCTTCATCGGTGGGTGAAGGTCGCCTACACCTCGATCCAGAGGCTTGAGGATGGATTTTTTTCTTTTTCTGTTGTTTATCCCCGAGGAGTCTCTCTATTATTGCTTCCAAGCGTCTGATAGATTCCTGTTGTTAGAGGATGGTTGATTGTTGCTCTTCCACTTTCCTTGCCATGTCTTCCTCACTTTCAGCCATGTGAGCACTTACATGTTCATTTTGATCGATATTGGAAGACTGAGAGGTTACGATGGTTGAGTTTTCAGGTTCTTCATCAGCCTCATCTGTAATGCCTGCTAATCTTTGGCAGTCTAGTGGGATCACCACACCAGTACGAGTGTGCTGATACACTCTTTGTCCATCAACAAGCATTTCACCTAATCCTGGAGAGTACTCAGGATCAGAAGATTCAGAAGAATCAACCGAAACTTTGCTCTTATCCTTGCTAATCATATTAATCGTCACTTCAATATGGTGATTCTTGGGTGCTTATTTCTTGGGACAAAAACGTCTTCTTCTGGATGACGAGATCATCGATGGCTCAGTCAATCGTTCAAAAACTGAAGACTTATGTGTCGACTCCCCACATGGGCATTGGGAAACCACTGCAGAAATAAGCTTCTCGCAACAGCAATGAGATTGCATCTGACTCATGCTACGTTTGCGTATGAGATAATCACGGAGGTCAACAATGGGACTACCCCTAGCTGAATCTGTTAACTTGGCTTTACCCAAGCGAGACCCTCTATATGATAGAGGTTGACGAACTTGGGTAGTTGAACGAACTTCGTCAGTCATATATTTATGACGAGGTTCGTTGGTAGGACGAGCTTGGCGCATCCGCCTTCTCGGTCCATTCTTAGTTTGAGGTTTGTTCTCTTGATGAACCTCAGTGTGAACAACTTATTGAGTTGGTTGAACCTCACTTTGTGGATGAGGTTCGTTCTCTGAGCCTACTCAGGTGTAGGGACGAGATCCGTCATTTTGACGTTCCTCAGCCAGTTGACCCCCGATAGACTTATTAAACTTGGACTGGTCAACTTTCGGTCGATAGTGAAAACCGTCCAACGAAACCAAAGCTCGAGGCGACGAGCTTGGTTCTGATGTTGACGTTGTCGCGCACGTCTTGAAAGTGGAGCACAGGAGTTACTATCTTAGCTGGATGAGGTTTGTCAACGACGGTCAGGTTTTGGACATGTGGGTTAACAGAAGCCGAAGTTCGACTAGAGTGTTTGACAACTCATTTCTTTGTCTGACGATTAGTTACTGGAGCCTCATCCTTGAGAGGCATAGACTTTTCCTCGAGGTTAACTCGAGTTGAATCATCAGAAGCCACATGGACTGAAGTCTCATAAGAGACTCGACGGTATTTTCGTGCCGGGACTGAACTTACCAGAGGAGAGAAACTCCTCATACTTCATCTAGTCGAACTCTATGACTAGAGTTTCAACCTCGGTTCCCACTGTAATCTTGTCTCACTGCACCACCACCAATTCATCGGAAAGAATGGTGTCTCCTACTGTGATCGCCATCTTTTGTAGGGTCGAAAATTTTATGATTAAATTCCTTATTTTAAGAATGGGTTCGATCGCTTAGTACGAATTCCTTACAATCACTCACTCTCGATTACAGAGGAAGAGAGGATTAATTTGACTTTTCATTTGTTTAAAAATGGGTTCTTTGTGACGAAAGGATGTTTCTCTCGATACTCAAGCCGAGATTGCTTCCCGTTGACGATCAGATCAAGATCACAAAAGCTTCTGATAGTGGCTTAGATCACGAGAATACAGACACTGATCTCTCTTCACGCGATCGCCAAAATTTTTCCAAAAAATCCCATCTTCATAGCCGCTCATGGCTATCTATAGTGTAGCACGTAACCGACGTGCTAAAATTGTGGGTAGAGGACGTAACTGTCTCCTCCAATTCAGCCCACATTGGTTAATAGGGTGTAACGTGCTCCTGAAGCTTAGCCCACGTGGCTGACTAAGTCTTCAAATCCGTTATGGCTAGATCTTCTACGGACGACGAGTCTCGCTGCATAGCGAGGTTCGTCAGATTGGACGAGCATCAATATGCAGCGATGTTCGTCTTATAAGACCAGTTTTGCAGTATAGTGAGCTTCTTCTGGCGCACTTTGTATTCACTGACTTCGTCATCTGACGAGCTTCATCTTTACTAACGAACTTTGTCTTTGATAGCTGAGTCCAACTGCGTAGCAAGTCTTATGAATTTCCTTTTTATGAGCCTCGTCTTCACTGACGAGCTTTAAGTCTGATGATGAGTTTTGTCTTCACTGACGAGCTTCACCTCTAATGATGAACTTCGAACCTCGTATCCAATGACGAGCTTCGTCTTTTGATGTCAAGTCTCGCTGCGTGGCGGGCCTCATCTTTGAACGAAACCAAAGCTCGAGGCGACGAGCTTGGTTCTGATGTTGACGTTGTCGCGCACGTCTTGAAAGTGGAGCACAGGAGTTACTATCTTAGCTGGATGAGGTTTGTCAACGACGGTCAGGTTTTGGACATGTGGGTTAACAGAAGCCGAAGTTCGACTAGAGTGTTTGACAACTCATTTCTTTGTCTGACGATTAGTTACTGGAGCCTCATCCTTGAGAGGCATAGACTTTTCCTCGAGGTTAACTCGAGTTGAATCATCAGAAGCCACATGGACTGAAGTCTCATAAGAGACTCGACGGTATTTTCGTGCCGGGACTGAACTTACCAGAGGAGAGAAACTCCTCATACTTCATCTAGTCGAACTCTATGACTAGAGTTTCAACCTCGGTTCCCACTGTAATCTTGTCTCACTGCACCACCACCAATTCATCGGAAAGAATGGTGTCTCCTACTGTGATCGCCATCTTTTGTAGGGTCGAAAATTTTATGATTAAATTCCTTATTTTAAGAATGGGTTCGATCGCTTAGTACGAATTCCTTACAATCACTCACTCTCGATTACAGAGGAAGAGAGGATTAATTTGACTTTTCATTTGTTTAAAAATGGGTTCTTTGTGACGAAAGGATGTTTCTCTCGATACTCAAGCCGAGATTGCTTCCCGTTGACGATCAGATCAAGATCACAAAAGCTTCTGATAGTGGCTTAGATCACGAGAATACAGACACTGATCTCTCTTCACGCGATCGCCAAAATTTTTCCAAAAAATCCCATCTTCATAGCCGCTCATGGCTATCTATAGTGTAGCACGTAACCGACGTGCTAAAATTGTGGGTAGAGGACGTAACTGTCTCCTCCAATTCAGCCCACATTGGTTAATAGGGTGTAACGTGCTCCTGAAGCTTAGCCCACGTGGCTGACTAAGTCTTCAAATCCGTTATGGCTAGATCTTCTACGGACGACGAGTCTCGCTGCATAGCGAGGTTCGTCAGATTGGACGAGCATCAATATGCAGCGATGTTCGTCTTATAAGACCAGTTTTGCAGTATAGTGAGCTTCTTCTGGCGCACTTTGTATTCACTGACTTCGTCATCTGACGAGCTTCATCTTTACTAACGAACTTTGTCTTTGATAGCTGAGTCCAACTGCGTAGCAAGTCTTATGAATTTCCTTTTTATGAGCCTCGTCTTCACTGACGAGCTTTAAGTCTGATGATGAGTTTTGTCTTCACTGACGAGCTTCACCTCTAATGATGAACTTCGAACCTCGTATCCAATGACGAGCTTCGTCTTTTGATGTCAAGTCTCGCTGCGTGGCGGGCCTCATCTTTGATTAAGACAAGGTTCGTCTCTATGACGACCTTCATCATATTTCGAAGTTCGGCATTTTTTTTAATACCTACAAAGAGGAGCCCCTAAAGGAACATATACATGAGCCAAATCATAGCACAATGCATAGGGTTCAATTTCCTTTCTTTGCTATGTTAAGAAATTTGATGCTCACGACGTGTCATAGTAAAAACCAAAGACAAAGGTGGGCTCACATGACTATTCATTAATATATCATCTTCCCCTTCCCATGCCAAGAAGAGGAGTCCTGGTTTACTCTCTTATCTGGATATAATGGAACAGGAGTTGTTTGTGCGTGCAAGAGAGGGAGGAGGTGGAAGAGGGGAGCTGGTTTGTACATACCCATACCTATAGCATATGCAAGAGTTAGGTGTTCAAGAACAAGAAATAAGGTAGATGAAATTTGGCACATTAATCATATAACCAAACAGTGTTTTTAAAACAAATAATATGTGGTAATTGGTGACAAGCAAGCAAGCCATAATCAAAGGTTATCAAAGTACCCATAATGAATTCTAATAGCTTAAACAAGAGGAAACAAAGTGAGAAAGCATGAATATTGACTCAAATAACCAGAAATGAGGGCTATCACATACACACATTCTGAGGACCATGTTCCACTGCAAAGGGCTGACAGCAAGCAAACAAGTTTAACAGTATGAAGAGGGTATTCTCTCTCTAGCATATAAAGAAGAGAGCGAATGGGTCCATCAACAAAACTATCTCTGTCCCAAAATTGCATGGAAAGTGAATCCTGAAACAATAAGGTAAATGGTTTTCAAAGCATGGAGGACAGTAAAAGAAAATAACTCAGTCTTACTACAAAACTCTAGGATGAGACAAGAACCAGCAATCAAACCTCCCCGTGATATATTTCCGAAAGAATATCCAAAATTATGTTTAGCGTGCCCTCTGCCTGATCAAAGGTCAATGTTATCAGAAATTACATGTGCCTCCACAAAAATGGAATAAAACAAAATATTAATGAATATTTCAAATATTTCATCACCAAAAAAGGGTGAAATAACGAACCTGATGATTAAGCTCGTAGGACGCAATAAATGCTGACACGACTGTTCTCAAGACGCTCAAATAACCAGAAATAGGGCCCTGTAATGAAATTTTACTCAATTGTTTCAGAAAAACAGATATCAGTTTAAATGCATTATATGCTATAACAATTAGCTAAGAATTAGAGGTGGTAGACAGCAGCCCAGCATAATAAAACACAACAGACATGTTCACAATTCCACATATAACACAACAGCGCAGCTGCACAGCTCCACTCAACAATCCTGTCCACTGCATTTGTAGTTCTTATCAGAAAATATATTCAGTGAACAGCCCTTTATGCAATTATGGCTATTATGAAAATAGAAAATCCAAGCCAAAACAAATTCGCCTAGGCATCAGCTGGCCATCTTAAAACTGGTAGGCTTGCACTTAACTTGAAATAGGGCAGGATGTGAACAGCAGTAGCTCATGGCATAGGAATCTTCCGGACATATATATTTCGCCATATATGACATGAGCTCAGCTTTGCTTTTTAAGGCTATTCACTGTTTACAAGTATGGATTTTATACTGCCTATGGGCTCTTCTGACCAGGAACTTACGCGCTCAATTCTTATGGCACTACAATACTTAAACAGTTAAACTCTAGACCCGACACAACATACTTAGATGCTTGTAAAATTTCCTACGTTGATGATTTTTAAACAAGGTGCTACTGCCTAGCATGCTTAGAAAACCCAAACCCCCTTCGCCCTCCACATTCCTTCAAACCAGAAAAAGGACAAAGGCAGAAACCTCATCTACATTGCAACAATTGCAGCCTCAAAATATAGCATGCTTATAATCAACTCTTTTTTTCACAAAACTCTACAATTTCAACCCAAAAGTTTAGGTTATAATTAATGCTTCTGTATAAGGCCAGCATGCATCACTTTGTTATCTGATTGAATATATCAATAATAAGGGACTCATGAGGTTGCACCAGATTTACGCTTGGTGTCTGAGTTATTTAAAAGGTAATTTCTGCTGTAAAAGACATCGATAGCATTTTAATCTAAAATAACGAGTCATCACTACTAGCAATGTTAGATAACATTTGGTGTCCTCCGCCTAAAGTTGCTAGATCAGGACCCAGGCTCAGGACTTCCAAGAGTACATTAGAAGAAGCCAGAAGTAAACAAACTCCAACGCGCTAAAAAGACATTCAAGATGAACTAGCACAGAGTTCCTGCCTTCTTCGAACTCCATGAACCAAGACATGCATTCATTATGGCTCTATGGGCAATACAATGTACCTTCGAAGATCATATATATGTATTGAAAATTTCTTTCTAAATTGAGAAAATGGAAACATATTTTTGCCACCTCCATTTACCAATCAATATTTTTCCTTCGTGCATTCCTAGCCATCATGTTACCACAGGTATCAAATACATAGTGTTCCAAAGAAAGCCCTACATTCCAAAACTTGAGAAGGAGAGAGACTAGAGAATGGGACACTTAAACGTGCATAGAAATATATGTAAACAAACATAAACCAGGAAAAATCACCAAGAGAGATCACCATTCCATGGTTATAGAACTGATTGGTACTTTGCTTTCTTTGTAAATTCTTAAACTTCTGGGATGAAAGGCTAGTAGGCATAGCAGTGGGCTTTGATGTCTTAACCCAAGATCTCTTGCATACTTACAAGAAAAAGACTAAACCATTAGGGTTGATGGAGGCCTATGGAAGGGGTAAGGAGAGAGAGATTTAAAGAAGCACAAAAAAGGCATGTACCTCCTTGACCATGAAAGTGTAAGATCTAACAAACTAACATAGTATTTGGAACTACTCATTTGAGGTAGTCCATCTACCGAACGTATGAGATGTGTGCGCCAAAGATCTATGGGATATCTTGTTGCAGCGAGGATCTTATTTTCTGATAGCCAGAAGCTTTGACTCCAAAAACAACTTATCGTCAAATCTATTGAACTTATAAAGCTTATAATGTTTTACTAACAACCACAATCTATTCTGTTCTGTTATGCAGTTATTTTAATTTAGACTGACATGTAGGCATCTGCCAGCTTTCGAAGAACATTAGTACCTATAACACAACAAAACTCAATTGAATAAATATACATAATCCAAGAAACAAGAGAATGTGTTATTCCAGAAGGGTCTACAAAAATAATCAAATTCTAACTCTAACCTACCACTTAAGCTAGATTTATTTTCAATAATTTTTTGTTTCAGCTAATCAGTTGATTGATTAAATAAATACAGGAAAGAACATGGATATTATATATCTGTCATAAGGATTCAATGCTCGACGAAACAGCTCCCACAACTAAGCATGATATCCAAAACGGTTTCACTGCATGAGAGAAAAGAAGAACAAGAAGAATAGAAAACAGTGAGAAATAGCCATAAGAGGTATATTTCATCCTCTACATTTTTGACATCTGTCATCCAGCTTTCAATCAGATCCAATAATAATTCTCTCTTTGTATATAGATTAGAGCAGATTATGCACATACTCCAATGTTTGGATTTAGTCCTTCATTATTCCTAAAATTAACTGGCAAATTCTAGGATTCTGATTCATCTTTTATTGGCAAAAACTTGGATGTCAATTATTTGCTTGAATTTGCAGCTTTTAAGTGTTTATTTACAGCAATCTGCATAGGTGAAATGGCTCTAATATTAATAACATTACACTGGAATAGGTTTTTCTGTAGAGGGTTAAACCTTGTAGTTGTTTCAGAGACATACGCTCAATCTAGTTGTGTTATCATTTCTGCTTTGATTTAAGGTTTTCTAGCCACTTTTTAGAAACCTAGAATTTGAGTATTCATCAAGACCAGGGTAAAATTATATTATTATGGTTAAACCATTTCACCTGTAAGCACACAGTACCTAATAATCTTAGACTAAACATTGGACAAGAAATTGCAGTGTTACACAAAGATCACAGCGGCTACACAGATATGATAAACTTACATCCGAGTCCCTTAATGCATCACCACGAACAATGTCGAGTATGTGACTAAATGCTGCAGCCTCAAAGGCTTGGCGGAGATATGCAATATGATCAATCTCCTGAAAAGGTACAAGTGAATCTTAACACACATACATAAAAATCAACTAAGGTATATAGTATCAAACTTGCATGTACCATAAGCACATTATTCTCTGTCCTTCCAGGAAGTGACAAAAGAAGACAAACAAAGACTGCCCACACAAGAAGTAGAGGACCAGCTTCTTTTGCACCCAAGTCAGAAAAACTTGAAACAAGAAGATCCATCTCTAGAACATCTGATAGTGATAATATAGAACAAAATTGGCTACAAAGACAAACAGAGATCAAATGAGAGAAATGAAATATACTACAAACAATGTAGAAAAAACATTTTTTCTCAAGAAAAATAAAATGTTGAGAAAATCATAACGCTCAAATAAGAACCTAAAAGGAACTTCATCATGAACCATCCGCAGAAGATTTTCCAAATCCAAGGTTTCAATAAGAATAAGAAGCAACTGGGATTTTGCATGACCAAGTGAATTCCTAGCTTCAAGTGAAACAACTAATTTTCCAATACTAAAATTGCCGCTTAACATGTCCTGAAATATTCAGAGTATAAGATCATAAACCTGGCAACATGAAGGAACCAAAAATAGAAGCTTAGGACTGAGATTGAACAGATTTACCCTAAAAACTGAGCATAGCCTTTTCCATTGTTCACAACTGCAACTACAAAAATTATCATAATAAACAAGGAACAAAGTGTCCAAGATCAAGTTATCTTCAATGACAGATTCTTCCAGCCAAAGAACAGTAAAATCAACTTCCTGAAGAGCACAGCACAAATGAAGATGAGCGGACAACGATATGTAAAGAATGAAAGCTAAAGGGGCAGAATTTGAATCAGCAATAATGCTATGGAATGATTCTAATAACAATACTAAGAATTCATATACAGCAAATTAAGTTCACAAGAATGAACAGCCTATCAAAAAGAAGTAAAATTTATTAAACAGAAGCCTGAATAACTACGTTATAACAAACATTAGATGAAAAGAAAGTTATTGAAACAGTATTTTCCATTTTATTCCAACTACACTCATTTTCCTTTGAAGTACTATAGTTTGGAGGTTAGGAATATCTGCCTGAGTCCCACTCCATTGCAACATCACAGCATATGCCATCGTAATACTAAAAATATCCAAAAGTGGTTCTCTTCTTTGATACTAAAAATATCCAAACGAACATTTAGCGAAATCTTTTTATCAAGGGATTTTCCCGTAGATACCCTCCTAATTATTGTAATCCCCATTTTGTCCCTTAAATTGTGATCTCTCTCGAAATTTTCCTCCAACCTAAATGGTGTTCAATTTTCAATATAATTTTGATGAATAACTTTTTCACATTGATTAATGTGAAAAGGAAGAGAATCCTTTTTCTAATCCTGACACTACCCCTGTTTTTTCTCTGCCGAACCCTCCCTTCCTCCCTCCAAGTTATAGAAGATTTGACAGATCAATCTCTGGTGAAATTTTCAATATTATTCTCAAACGATGGCCTCTCTGATATTCTCTCCCATTACAATTAAAAATCTCCCCCTCTCCCCCACAAATCCATTATCCCTCTCTTCGAACAGAAGCAGAATGCAGAAGAGAGACCACAGCATTCTGATTGTGAAGGTTGCAATGCACAGGTAATAGAAACATAAATCTGATTATCTTGATAACAAGATGTATCATCCATCAACAACATTGCAGTTAGGAAAAATGCAGTATACATGTAACTGTGCTAATTCAGGAAGCTAGGGGCTTTGTTACTTGGAGTTGAGAGAAGTTGATATAGTCTTTAGTAAGCAACTGTGGTGCACACGATGTACATGATCTGTTATCATCAGTTATTGTGAAACAAATAAACCACTAGGATTGATTTTCTAATGAGAGGGTCAGGAATAACTAACTGCAATAGTGCAATGGTTGAGAAAAATCTGTATTCAAGTTCACATTTTTGAGTTACTTGAGACAAATAACATTGCTTATTTCTTTGAGCAGTAAGTTTTAAGGTTACTGAAATACTGATAACTAAAATTTCTCAACGACTGAGTTTCTTTTTGAACTTATTTACTCCTCAGTGTATCAGCTTACATTGACGGTAAGTGGAAGGCAACTTCTTCAAGGACTCTGACTACAAAAGAACTGGATCGGAAAAGGAAACCATGTAATGGGAGCTCATACACAAGTAAAATCTCCTTCACAGTTTCATAAGTGGACACTGAGATCACCTAAGAGGTTGTTCCAATAAACTGAAAAGTATAATAAAAAAGTCCAATCTCAACATCAAATTTTAATATCTGCAAAAGGTTGGTCATCTGCTAGACAAGGCAATGATGAGGAGATTAAAGGTGGAGGAATTAAGTGCATGTTTAATTGTGGTAGACTGAGAGAACAATGATAATAAATATATTTTTATAGATAATTTGAACAATAAATGAAAGGCTTAGAATAGTTTTGATCAAATTTAACATCCAAAGACTTTTGAATGGGAACTTACACATTTTTCGGAAGTTGCAGATGATAGTAGGTCAGTAAGAACAGACAGCAGGCTACTCTCCAGGCCATCACGAACCAAATGCTTAGCCTCTGGAACAAGGGGATCGCTTGCATGAGATTCATTGCTCAAGCATACTGCAGAAAATAACACCATTTTCAATATTAATTGGTGCTTAATTAGCAAGGAGTGTATTTATCAATAGTAATAAAAAGTATATGCAATATAAGTGCTGATCTACAAAGAAAAGATTGATACATTAAACTAATCCCGTAAAGAGAATAAGTCCAGTAAAAGATTATCAAAATCAAGTAAGCCTTCAAAGTGGTTAAAACCAAAGAATGCACACATTTCAAGCAAAAACATAGACTAATTAATTCACTAGAAATCAACTTTTGGCACCTAGATCATAGTGCTCATGATCAATTAGAAGCAGGCATTCACCAAAACCTAACCAGAGGTTAAGGCATAAATGGAACGACTAAAGCTCTCAATAAAAGTAAACGAAAAAAAAAATGCATAAGAAGCTAAGGAGCTCTTCAGAAAAACAAGTAACTCAGTAACAACTAGAACTCCCGAAAGTTCCAATTCAATTCAGCACTTCCAATAATAAATGCTCCTTCATAAAAAGATGAAAACTGACAAATTGCATAACTAAAAAGAAAACAGTAAAACTAACTGCCGCAGACGAAAATACCAACTTCTACTCATGATGTCCAAAGTTTATGACTACCTTGTATTAAAGGGTTTCAAGCCATGTTGCTTACCAAGAACTCGAGGCATTTCTCATGCCACTTTAATGGATTGTCCTGGATTAACTGTTGCTACAGATTTTCTTCAATTGTTCAACCTTTGTAATGTAGAGGGATTAGAGTCAACTGGTCAATTTTAATTGGCAATCTACGGACCAGGTAAGCCTAAATCAGTCTACAAACGATTAAGGAGCACACCACAATATAAATGAGATACTTCAAAAAATTATCTTGGATCTATTTGAGTATGACAAGATGAAAACACATAACTACGTGGAAGAGGACCTTTGAAAATTAATCCAACATAACATTGATTTGACCGAGCTATTCATAACTATTAAACTGAAGCTAGGAACAAGCCAAACAAAGGGGAGAGATCACATCTACTTTTTTCATCAATTAAATTAATCTAATAATAATTTTCAAGAAAAGAATTGCACGTCATTATTTTGCAAACATAAAGAAAACACATCAACAGTTATGTCGATATTAATGATCCATTGCAAATTCTTGAATAAGCTGACAACAGGTGGTGACAATTAAGGATGTATATGACTTAAGCATGAAAGACTTACAAGCACGCACAAATATACATCTGATGCACTTCAACAAACACTGCCTTTCATAATAATACTGAAGAAGTACCTTGAAAAGACAAAACAAAAGCAATGTCAGCTATAGGCAATGGTCAACTTCAAGCCAGATGACCTAAGAAAAGGTAAACAGAAACATGTAAGGTTATTCAACGAACATAGCTGAACCAACATGTTATAGGATAACTACACAATATTTAATAGTAATAATGCAGGCTAAAAAAGACAAGAATGTTAAAGAAATAGCATATATAATATATGAATACATGCACTCTATGATTTATCCCACCAGATAATTGTTTTGTCAATTTGTGACTACAGTATCTAATTTACACTGTACATCACCAAATCAAAATACTAATATAAGCCAATTGTCTGCAGAAGTAACCATAGTTGGTCCGGCAAAAAGTCTAATTCTCTTTTTTACGCATGCAGACAGCAGAAAATTAAACCGTACTTCCCCCGGAAACAGGTGCACATCTACCAGAAATTGACCAGTAACTTAAATAGTCCAGTAGCTTGCTGATGTGTACCAAATTAATCTTCAATTAGTGGCTCTTGAATCACCATTCGGAAACAAAATCCTCCCACATCTTATAACATATGGTTTCCGAAGTTATACCGTTTAGAAGTTTCAGCAGAAGGATGTCTCGTGACTAGCAAACAGAATTTTACAAAAGTATGACATGCTTGTTCCATGTAAAATATCAACATATTCCTGAGTCAGAGTAAGTTCCTGATATTTGGGACAAACCAACTACAAGCTACTACAGAAAAATAGAGGGTTTGAGGCATTACAAGTTCAGTATACTATTGATTTGTATTATTATACAACTATATATTGTATGCTTACAATATTTATAAATTATATAACTACATATAAGTAAGTTATGAAGCTTATGCCTTGTTTCATAAAAGGGTCCAACGCTTTGTCTTGCACTTCAACCCTTTTAAACAGTGATTTAAACATCATATATAATCTTTTTTTTCCACGAACATCATGTACATAACACTTTGTTACTAGTGCTCAACATTAATAAAATCACAAATATTCATAGTCATGTTGATCCAAATTTAAGAGCTAAAGCCTCAATAGGTTCTGTTCCATAAATTCATTGTAAGTGATTAGGTTAGGTAATCACTTGCTTGGTTCGGGCATTCAACAAGCAGCAATGAAGATTAATTTCCAAAAAAATAGACAAAAACTCAAATGCATATATGTCATATACAAGTATTCAGTGAACATAATGATCATCCATGTGAATCAAAAAAGCAATGTTGCACCGGAGCAGCAACAAAGAAGTGACACCAAATTTTCGAAAAGAAGAATGAGGAAAGAATCTTACCAGATGCAGAAAGTCTGGGCTCTCAAAATCAGCAACAGAATCATTAAGCTCACAAAACCTATTGACGAGAATGTATGATTGCACCTCATCCAAGCACTAAAAGGCACCACATGATATCAATTTAGAGAGTAAGTTTACCCATTATACTTTAACTTAAGCATAAGGAAATAAAGCATCAGAAGCACAGAAAACAATAATATAAAGTAATCAAACTACTTGCTCAAAGAAAACTCTGACATAAAAAATATATCTAAATGAATAATCACAGAAAACATATATTTTATCCGTTTCTTCCACATTGCCGCATCAAAAATTAAGTTCTCAATCTGACAAATATAATACAGGTACTATTAACAAGAATTTTTGTCACTGAACTTTTATGCTAGAAAGTTCTAAATAATTATTGCTGCACAGACTTTGATTAACATATTTCTAAATCATCAAGGAGGTAAAGAAAATTGGCATAGATAATATAACTTATTTAACAAGATCATGGTGAGGATTAGAACTTTGTGGCAATGAGAACTTCTAGGTTCCTCTTAAAAAGAAACATTTAGCTAGAAGGAATAAATATGTCAACGCGGTCTCAAAGACAGTAAGAACCTACCATCCAAATGGCTTTTACAATTGATTGTGGGTTCAAATCCTAGTCCTTGCACATGAAATTGAGCACTTAAACAATCCTTAGCTGCGACCACATTGCAAACCTGACCCACATTTCTAACCCGACCATACTGACAGGTTTGACAAGTCAAAATTATGTTACCCAAATATATGAGACCAGTAGGCAGCCTTGACCAATGTAATAAACTGGTTGGTTTCATGTGAGGTCAGTCAAGTATAATTAGGTCCCTGAAGATTGGTCCAACCCCTCTCATTTGCCAGTGGTACATGCTTGTCCAAAAACTTTATGCACACATCAAGCAACAAGTCATCTGCTTAATGCAACCGATTTTCATGATACTGGTAATCCAATAAAACAGGCAATCACCTAGACTGCCATCTAAAGTGAAGTTTCTAGGGTTTGTCTTTTTTGATGCGAGCCTAGCAGCTCTACCCATTTTATATAACACTGATACAATGAATAGCACGTCAGTTGTAGCTCATCTGTAATAATGAAACTTGTGCATTCAGAAGGATAAACTATTGCTGACATGATAAATGTGGTAAATGAAGTAAGAGATGAAATCAATTGCCTGTACAACTGATGCATTCACACCTTGCTTATGGAACATATTGTTCTTTTATGAAATATACCATGTAGAAAACATAGAAGTATATAAATAACTATAATGGAGTATAGAAAAAATGCATATATACATTAATTTCAAGCAAGTTATTGTCAATTTTCTTATCTGCCCAATCTATAAAGGCATATATCTGCATTACCTACAGCAACAAAAAGAAAACCTGTGTGTAAAAATTTGTGTTGTTCAATCCTTGAGCTCAGCAATATCTAAATTATATGTAAAGTGTTCACTGACTCATTCATCAAAGTGACTCCTATTCTTTGTGGGAAAACCTGAAATGGAATGCTGTAACTCAGAATCAACTAAATTGATGGCATAATTTGGTCATATACAGATTTGAAGACAGAAATGAAAATAAATTTCTCTTATCAAGAAATAAATAGCAAATCCAACTTCTAGGCCACCATATAAGCAAATGATTCAGTATCAGGCTTCTTTAAGAGATCGAGAATAGAAGTAGGTATCTTTCCTTAGTAACTCGCCAATGACAAAAAATAAACAGTGAATTTTGAAAGAAATTAGGCTTTCAGCTATATAAGAACATCAACGACCTCGAGAGAATTGTCAAGATTTCAAAAACTAAACAGTAATGAGTCAATTCTATAGCTAATGGAGAGGAAGATACCAAGCACGAGCTAACTCGAAGTGCTGCCTCTTTCAGCTCTGGCTTCACAACCAACTTAAGAGATCCAATCGACACTTTAGGGGAATCCAAAGCAAGCTTCGAAGCCTGATTTGGGCTCCTGAACCGAGTAACCGAATCCAGGAACCAACCACGATTGCTCTTCACTTTCTTCACCTGCAAACGAAAATTACAAGCTCAGCTACTCTTGAATCTCCACAGCACTGAGTTAGAAGGAATTAGGGTTTGTACCAGGTGATCTGGGAAATCCGAGGGAAGGGGTACGGCGTCGAGCTCTTCAAAGAGAGAGACGAAGGAATCCCACCAGAGAGACTCGTCGATGGTCATCGAGCTCGCTGCTCGATCTATGGCGGCCGCAGCGCTCGCCATCGACGATGGGGTTTAGGGTTTTATTTCGGGATCCCGCGCTTTTGTTCTTCGAAATCGTCAAACCGAGGATAGATGAAAGGGGGAAAAATTGTTGCCGGGGTTTTGGAGAGTAGGGTTTCTGGGGTTTGGGTTTTAGAAATGTTAGGGGCACACCCAACCACAATCTTAACCACACCTCCTCTCCATCTTAACCACACCTCCTCTCCTTTTATAGTGCATTGGGCTCCACGTTAAATTTTTTAAAAAAATTTAATGTGGGACCCAATACACTATAGAGGGAGAGGAGGTATAGTGGAGGGTGTGGTTGGGGGTGTGCCCTTAGCACCACTCTTTGGGTTTAGCTCAAGGAAGGATCCGGTCGATGGGTTGACGAATTGGAGTTCAATTCTGTTGGTCCGCACCCGACTTTGAATAAATAAATCCTTATATTTCGAAATTAAGATTCATACCCGAGGCCAATTAGTGTTTTATTTTCCTTTCTTTCTTTCTTTTTTTAATTGATCTTTGTAGGTGAATTTTTCTTGCATGAAACTTTCTGCCATGAAAATTCAAAGGAAAAATTTGCAAAATAGACCTATTTTGTTAAATATTTAGCAAAACGGTCTGTTTTGCTAAATATTTAGCAAAATAGATCTATTTTGCAAATTTCTTCAAATTCAAATACAAAAACATCATGCGGCCTATTCGGATTTAGAATAATGGAGAAGAATAAAAGATAGGGGAAACATTCATCTCGTTTAGATAGTTTTTTTTAGTGTTGAATTGTTCAACCTAGTTTAACTTAGTTCACCCCTAATAATGCAAAATTTATTCTCCACATTTTGGTGTGCAACCAATGGGAAAGGGACTCCCTTATTTTCCTTTATTTTCTCTCCCCTCTTTTCCCTTCTACTCTCCCCTCCTTTTCCTTAACTTCTCTTAACCCCAATAAAATCCAAACATGCCCTAGTTATGTTTGCCTTTTGTTGAATGCTTATTCGATTTTATAGCTAAAAGTTTTATAATTACAATCTTATATGGTTAAGTTATGCAACTTTAATTATAAAATTTAAGCTTGTTTGAGCATCATTTCATTGTTAAAGATTTGATTTAGGACAAATTTTGAAAATCGACTTTTTTTTAAATTTAATAGGCAAAATCGACCGTATAACAATAAAATGAGCAAAATCGACCCTTTTTTGCACGGGACTGTTAGTCCCGTGCAAAAAAGGTCGCTTCCGCAAAAAAAATTCTCCGGTCCTCAACCCATCCCCTCATTCCCTCTCTCTCTCTCTCCTTCATTAACCCATCCCCTCTCCATCTCTCTCTCCCTCTCCTCCAATCCCACACCAAAAAAAAGACGATCCTGCTAAAAAAATCAAAATCAACCCTCCTCCCCCAAATCCCCCCAACACTCTCCTCCCAAATCCCCCTGCACTGCTGCACCACCAGCACCGACACCTTCACTGGACAGCGGGGGAGGGCTTGGGTGGTGGCGCGGCTCGACGTGGCGGCGGGTGGTAGCATGGTCGGGGCTGAGGGGAACGGAGGACAGCGGCGGCGGCGAGCTGGCGGAGGAGGTGGAGTTGAGTTCACGGCGGCGTCGGGGCTGATGGTGGTGGAGATGATGAGGAGGCGGTGGAGAAGGGGATTGGAGGGAGAGGGGGGCTCGGGTCGGAGCTTGGGCTCAGGGAGGTGGTCGGGTGTAGGTCGAGGAGGTGGGCGCGGCTTGGGCGGCCCGATGGCGATGGAGGAGGGGCGTTTGGGGAATGGAGGAGAGAGAGAAGGGGTGATGGGTTGCTGTTGGGTTTGAGGGAGAGGGAGGAGAGATGGAGAGAGGGAACGGAGATGAGAGAGGGGTCTGGTGTGGTATTGGAGGACCGGAGAATTTTTTTTGCAGAGAGAGAGGGAACGGAGATGAGGGATGGGTTAATGAAGGGGAGAGAGAGAGAGAGAGGGAATGAGGGGATGGGTTGAGGACCGGAGAATTTTTTTTGCGGAAGCGACCTTTTTTGCACGGGACTAGCAGTCCCGTGCAAAAAAGGGTCGATTTTGCTCATTTTATTATTACACGGTCGATTTTGCCTATTAAATTTAAAAAAAAGTCGATTTTCAAAATTTGTCCTTTGATTTATTATCTTATCTTTAAGTATAGCCTGTGTTTATGAAAAACAATCAACTATATTTTTCTCAAGAAAATAACATTGTTTTGTGTCCTCTCGTCCCCCAATTGTCTTTCTTTTCTTGAGTAAAGGAAAGGAAAAGGATATGTTATTTATTTATTTTTATTTGCATGCAACATTTTAACATTTTTTATGTAAAGATAGTCAAACTACAATAATAACTTTACAAATTGCGATTGACAAGTCTTTACATGTAATCTATAAATGACTTGTTGATGGTCGGGATCAAACGGTCAATCAGATCCGGGATGAGATCGGTTCTGATCCGGGACTGGATTGGTTCCTCCTGGGTCCTCATCGGGACGAGGTAGAGGAGAGTGATGAAGGGGCCGCTTTCTTCTTCGACTTTATGCTTGGTTCTTGAATGGGGGGTTGAAATCCACGCTGCACATACAAGAAGAACCCGTGATAGGGTGAGGACCGGTTCCTCGTGATTCCTCCGACGGTCAAGTTAGTGAAACCTGAGTGGGGAAGGGGAATGTCAGGAACCGATGTGGTTCTTGAGGTGGCAATGTGCTGTTACAGAGGATCTATGTCTGTTCCTCTGTGTAGATGAAGAACGGTGTGTTCTTTTTCTTTCTTAGAGAGAGAGAGAGAGAGAGAGAGAGCCCGCCTCAAGTCGAGCCTAGCCCGGATCCGATTGACTGTTTGATCCTGATCATCAACAGTTTGGCGTCCATCGTGGGGCTACTTTTCTTTTTTGAGAAAACATGCCAAGTTCTGAACAAGGGTTTGATTCTACTCACCCTGAAGAACAAACATCGGAGTTGCATCATCCAAGCTAAATGAAGTCAGAAGTTGAATCATTGAAGCTAAGGAGGATTAGCTTTGGCTAAGAGGAACCAACATAGACGTAGTCCTCGAAGGCCTCAACGATTTTTCTAGGGAGTGTTTTGCTAAGTACGTCATCTGCTAGATGGTAGAGCGACCTTCAGCACCCATAAAAACCCTCCAGAAGAAGATACAAGTCAGGAATTGCATCATTCAAGCTAAGGAGGGTTAGCTTTGGCTAAGAGGAACCAACATAGACGTAGTCCTCGAAGGCCTCGGTGACTTTCTGGGGGGTGTTTTGCCAAGTACGTCATCTGCTAGATGGTAGAGCGACCTTCAACATCCCTAAAAACCCTCCAGAAGAAGACACATCATAAAGGGTGGTTGTCTTTGAAAAAGCAACCCCGGCTTCCAATCGTCGTCACAGAATAACTCTGACCAGAACATAGGTTTTGATTAGATCCAAACATCACTCAAGCTCCAGCTTGCAATAGCTCATATGAGCATAGGAGCAGTGATTAAGTCTGTGATAGGCATCCCGGACCATGATGATTCCTTGAAGAGAACTCTCATATACCAGGGATGAGATTGCTGGAAAAGCTTAGGGCTTATTAACTGATTGTCTTCTCAGGAAGAATGACATTGACCCTTCAACTAACGCCTACACCACTAAAGTTGCCTAAGATTTTGTGGTCGAAGCATGCGACCCGCATGATCCCCATAAGGGAGATTTCTCCATTCACAGCATGGTCCAGCCCCCAGTACTCCCGAAGCTCCTTTAAGAAAATCACTACGGTTTGTCATTCCCATGGAGTACAATACCAGCTGGTGGATTCTCTCCCCAAGAGAACTTCCATCACAAAAGATACAATGTAGCTTCTGATCGTGCCCCCAACCCTCACAAACTTGACTAGGAAAATGCCATTCAACATAATTCATGGCGTCTAGGCAGTTCCTTTTGCTAAAAGTCGGCATGCCAACCATCCGCCTTCAAGGCCTTACTAAAGATTCGAACTCAAAGGAACCTTGGCTGATGAGATGGCAAATAGAGTTCTGACTCGTCTTCATTTATCAATGAGTCGTCTGTTATGGTAAAAGTAAAATCCAACTAAAGAGGTTCTATATTGGCGGCATCATCCACTACAAAACTGCTTTTGAAACAGAGACAAGGGATCAAGCCTTCACTAGGGCCGAAGACCTAGTCAACTATTGAGAGTTCTAGGTAGCTGACTCCTCAGTCGAATTACAAGCCCTTGATACCTCTTCAGGATAAACCCAATGCACAACATATGGTCGAATGTTCTAGTGCTACTCGACCATCATGGCTATTTAAAAACCCAGGCGTCCAAATAAGTCCTAGGCAACCCAACCTCCGGGTTAGCATGTTAACAAGCTGTTGGTACCTCTTTAGGATAAACCCAAAGCACAACCCTATGATCAACTCCCACAGTCGTCACTTGACTATACGTGGATTTTGAAGACCTAGGAACCAACGTAAGACCTAGACACCCAACCTTACGGTTGTCATTCAGCCTCAAGGCTGTCAAAGACCTAGGCAGCTTCCATAAGTTCTAGGTATTCGACTCCTCAGTCGAATTACAAACCTTTTGTACCTCTTCAAGATAAACCCAAGGCACAACTCTATGGTCGACTCCCACAGCCGTCACTCGACCATACGAGGATTCTGAAGACATAGGCACCAACGTAAGACCTAGGCACCCAACCTTAGGGTTGTCATTCAGCCTCAAGGCTGCCAAAAACCTAGTCAACTTTTATAAGTTCTAGGCATTTGACTCTTCAGTCGAATTTCAAGCCCTTGGTACCTCTTCAGGATAAACCAAGTCACAACATATGGTCGAATCCTCTAGTGCTACCCAACCATCATGGCTATTTAAAAACCCATGCATCCAAATAAGTCCTGGGCGACCCAACCTCAGGGTTAGCATGTCAACAAGCCCTTGGTACCTCTTCAGGATAAACCCAAGGCACAACTCTATGGTCGACTCCTGCAGTCGCCACTTGACCATACGGGGATTCTGAAGACCTAGGCATCAACGTAAGACCTAGGCACCTAACCTTAGGGTTGTCATTCAGCCTCAAGGCTGCCAAAGACCTAGTCAACTCTCGAGAGTTCTAGGCAGTCGACTCCTCAGTCGAATTTCAAGCCCTTGGTACCTCTTCAGGATAAACACAAAGGCATAACATATGGTCGAATCCTCTAGT